TTTTTTCTCGAAATATTGCGATTCAACATTTTTATATTAAAATCATATAAAAAAGTGAATCCCAATACTGCAATTCACTTTTTTTTATATAGAATTAATATAAAAAAAGTGAGTTGCGGTATTGCGATTCACTTTTTTATATAGATTCTATATAAAAAAAGTGAGTTGCGATATTGCGATCCACTCAATTGGTGAAAGTTGATTGCTACAGATCCAAAACCTGAATTATTGCCATCACTTACTTTCAATATGTCCAAATTCAGCTACATGCGCACGTGGATTCTCAACCTTAAGGTGACTTTTGAGAGACGTTTAAACCTCAAATTGGCAACATTAGCACAGGTCGAAATGCTAAAAATTGGCAAAAAAAATGGCGCGAAAAGCAGTGGCTATTTTTGGCTATTTTTGGCTATTTTTGGCTGTTTTTGGCTATTTACGAATTAACCTATACTATTTGTAAATAGTTTATACAAATTTGCGAATAGTTTATGCGATTTGCACCATTTTTTTTGCCTATTTTTGATCATTTGACGTGTGTAGAATTGATGTATAAGTTAATTACCTATTGAAAATCTAATTCCAAAACAGAACTTGGTTATTATAGAGTCGATTAAAAGAAAAATGTACGTCTTAGTAATGACGAAATAAATATTCATATAGCGGAGACTTTCAAAGAAACGGACGAGGATGATAATGATGATCTTACTCTTACTCATAAATCTACTGGTAGTGAAAAAATTCCAAAAGACAATTGTTATATTTTAATCGAACCTGTATGGATCAACAAATTTATTGATTTATCACACGATTTAATAATTAAAGATATTAATGTTTTAAAGGATCTCTTAGACGATTTTGATGAGAATATGAACAATGACAACACAGGTCGAAAAGTGAAAAATCAGGCATCAATCAGTCACCAATCAGTCACCAATCAGCTACCTGATTGGTGACTGATTGGTGACTGATTTTTCACTTTTCGACCTGTGCAACAGAGTAAGTAATGATGCTGGTAGTAGTGAAGATGATAATAAAAATGGGAAAGGCTATTATAATTATAATGTAGATGATTTATTATATAGTACTGATGAAGAGGAGGAAAACTAATAATTAATTTTCACGTTTAAGGTTGCTGGAGAAACTAGGAAGTTTTGGCAAGTTGGCGAAATGCTAAAATAGCGAAACTTTACCAAAACTATATGAAAGTCTTATTAAAAAATTAGCGAAACTCTGAAAAAAAGTGAAATTTAACAAAACTTATTATAAATGCTGAAACTGCTAAAACTTTGCCAAAACTATAATAAAACTATAGTAAAATCTTGGAGAAACTAATCGTAGAATTTTGGAGAGGTTTGCAGTCACAAGCAGTTTAATAATAATAATTATAATAACAATAACAATAACAATTATAACAATTATAATAATAATAATAATAATAATAATAATTAAGGTTGCTTGTCTAAACCTCTTCAAAATCCTACGATTAGTTTCGTCAAAATTTTACTATAGATTTATTATAGTTTCGGCAGAGTTTTGGCAGTTTCGGCATTTATAATAAGTTTTGGCAGTTTCGCATTTCTCCAAAGTTTCGCCAGTTTTTTAATATAACTTTAATATAGTTTTGGCAGAATTTCGCTTTTCGGCAAAACGCCATCTTGCCTAAACCCCTAGATTTCAGCAAGCAACCTTAATAATAATTATAAAGTTTTGCCAATGAATTAATATATTAAATATATTATGTATATCTTAAATCCACCACGAACGTCGTGAGAACGAGTATCATGAAGAGTTATATTATTGATCAATAGACAACAGGAGTTGGTAAAAATGCTGCATAGTGCTGAAAGGTCCATTCCTATAAAAAAAGAGAAAAAAAAAACGTTAATAACACTCTTATATTAAAGCATAAAACTCTTCCCCCTTCCTTTATAATTACCACTTTAGAATGTCTAGCAAACAAGTCCAAGCAGCTGCAAATCTAATAATAAAGTATATTTAGTATTGAACCAAGAAATAAACAAAAGTAAAAGAAAAATAAACTTGCCGTTAATTCCATGTTTAAGAAAGTCTACATACAATACAGGGCCTATCACATATATAAATATTAACGTCAAAACTATATGTTATGGAGGGCCGAGAACTCTATAATGCCGAGATCACTAAGCGCAAAACTATGAGTCTTGCAGAGTAGAATCGCCAAACTAAAAGAACTAAAAGAAACAAATTCCATATTCGATAAGTATCTTTCAAGAATTTTGTTTTATAGCTTTTTTTTATGTATTTTTTTAATTACCCATTTCTTTAAACAGAAAAAAATTTTTGATAAATTATTTATTTTAAAAAAAAATGTTTAATTTAAAAAATGTTGATTAAACTTTTTTTCGTTAATGGCTGATCATCTATCCATATGGTATAATTAATTTAAAATGGTAAAAATTTCTTATTAATTGCCAAAACTATAGTAAATCATTATAAGAAATGATGCTGAAACGCTGAAACAGTTTTGGCAGTTTTGGCAATTTTGGCAGTTTCGGCATTTTAAGATAGTTTGCGAAACTAGTTTCGGCAGTTTCACATACGCCTTCTTGCCGAAACTCCCTAGTTTTGGCAAGTAATCTTAACTCTCTGTGACGTTAAAAAGCTATTAACAAAAGACATGAAAGTGAATCCAAATATTATCAACTAATTACAGTTGAAATTTCTCATTTATCATTCCAGTTTTTTTCTAATATTGACGTAATTCTTATCCATTTCTTAACACCACTTGTATTGTCATGGCAAAGATTTCAGATTTCTCAGTCATTTACTTATGAAGATCAATTGGTAACATCATTTATTGAGGTAATAAATCATTTCACAAATCATGTGTTTAAGTTAGATATAAAAATATTAATATTTACTTTATTTGTTATATATTATATAGGATTTGAAATCTAATACCACCAGTACTGATTTTGTAGAGAATTTAATTGACAAACCCCAAGTAACATTACAATTACTTCTAAGTGGTATTGAACTTGAGAATATTATTGAAATATGAAGAATACGTCATATAGGTGGATTATCATAACGTAAAAATTTAGTGGCACTGTTATCTGATAGAACTCACTGTACTTACATGGAAACAGTTACAAAAGGCATTATCTGTCACCATTTCTGAAGGGTAATGTTATATTCAAATTCAGCAAAATTTCATATTAACATGATATCTGCTAGATAGTACAAAGATAATATAACTAATTTAAATTGCAGTTTTGAAAATTCACCACCATCTCAAAATAACTTTACACTTTAAAGTTTGCGTTATTTTCAAGGAGTAAAACATATTCAACCTAATGAAATTATGTGCCAAAATAATTCCAAAGAAATCGATTTGAAGTTGCATTTTCTACAGCAAAAACTGCTATAAATGTTGCTTTAAAAATAAAAACTGATGAAGAATTAATTAAGATACTAAAAGATTTTATTGCAGCCAAATATGAAAAACAATCAGAAAGAAATGATTATACTAATAATAATTTAGAAGTGAATAATTATATAGAAGATCAATTGACACAAGATACTAGCAATATAATTATTCCTTACAACACTTAATTGGGCAGATTACTAATCCTAATGTTACTAAAATATGAGATGCTCCCTTAAAGAAAAGATTAAAGAGCGCTATGGAATTATCAAAAAAATAGGTCCCAATATAAGAAAACCTGAATGATTCAAATTATCAAGTGGCAAAGAGTCAACGCAGGTGTCTGTTATGTGGAAAATCTGGTCATTATCAGAAAAAGTATCTAAATGCTAGGAATGGAAAATATAGAGGTATTATACTATACTTCCATAGTTTTATACCAGAATGCACTCTTTATTTGATTTTTTATTGTACTAATAATTACTTTAATTAATATGAGAGCAGCGTAGATTTTTATGTATTGTAACTCTATATTAGAAAATTATAATCAGAGAGAAGAACGACAGATATTTTTGATGTAATTATTAATGTAATTCAAATACTAATAAAAATATTATTTAGTTGTTATAAACAAGGTTTATTAATGTAAATTATATAATACATATGTTATTTATTAGAGTAAATTTATTCATCGCACGTGCGATGCATCGCCACTTTCCTTTTTTGTAAATTATTTATGTTGATCAACCTGCTTATACATCGCCACCCCCCTTAAAATGGCAATGATAAACATAAAAATTTGCATCGCACGTGCGATAAATAAATTATTTCTATTTATTATATTAAAAAATAAATTAATTTTTTTTTGAAACGTAAAATTTGATGTCACATGACCAGATGATTTTCACCTGGGGTGAATGTTAAATTTATCCCTTTAATTTATTATATCTTTAAATTTTATATTACTATATATTATTAGTATAGGATTAATTTTACATTCACCTCCGGTGAATTTCACCTTGATCTGCAATGCATTAAAATTTTAAATTTACCCGGTGAAATTCACCAGGTGATTTCATATTACACAAACGCGTAGCGCATATTTTGTTTTTTGCTTTCTTGTAGTATTATTTCCAAAATGGCTGGAACTTCTTTAAGGTAAGATTTTTTTTATTTTCTTATTACTTTGCTAGTTTAATGTTCTTTTTCTCTTATGCTAACTTGTTAACTTGTTTTTCAGAAAACAATTTCAAATAACTTCAAGAGGTTTAAAGTAAGACTCACTTTTATTGCTAGTATTTTGCTATTTTATTGTTTTCTTTATTGAAAATAATACTAACAGTTTCTTTTATTTTCTATCATCACTTTATTCCCTTTTCATTTTCTATATCCATTTCACTCCCTTTTCATTTATTTGCTATTATTTTTTTCGCTCCTTTTGTTTTTTATTATTTCATTATTCC